TGAATTTAAATAGGCGTGTTAAGAATCTAAATTGACAGCACCATGATCAGGCGACACCCTTGTAAAGTTGGTAAAGTCCACAGCTGAATTTGTATGTTTTGTTTTTATAGAAGTGTAAGGTAAGTGAGTACCATCAAAAACGACTTTTGGAGAAAAAAACTGCTTACAAACTGCAGGATAAGACTGCATAAGCGAGTAAGTTCCTCTACTACCATTTAAATGTGTTTTCTGGGTTTGGCGTTGAAATTCATCCACTCAGCAGTACCATCCTCCGATAAAGGATTTAGAATAGTAGCACCTTCCAGTAAGAAACTGATATCGACAAAACCAAAATATATTCGTGTATCGGGATTTACCATATACAGGCAATGACTTGGCAACCGCTTCTCACGACAGACCTACAAATAACTAGACTGCATTTAAATGTCTTCAATCAATGCAGTTTGAATAAATACGTGAGTGGACAGTATTTATGATTTTTGTAATTTAAAAAAGAAAAACAACAAGATGGAAGGTATAGCTTTGATTTTGATTCTTTTTATAATTATGTTTCATTTGTATTGTAAATTATATAAAAAACATACCGTAGCGTTATGCTTATCATCGATAAATGTTTCTTCTAAGATCCATTCATCTTGCAGTTTACCGTCCAATGACACAGTAGTTGATGTAATGAAACATCTTGGTCGATATCGTTCTCTTGGTTCAATATGAAAATTCAGCCGGCTTAAGTCGGACAGTAGACCTTCTCCGGTTGCCTAAATAGCTCGCTAATATGTACAAAATACTTTTCGATAAATTAAAATGCAGTGTAGCTACGGAAAAATTTATAAGATGTTGTGGAAATTATGGAAAATCCTATCTTTTGCAGATTCACGGATGTGGTAAGATATCTCAGGAAGTTTACAAGATTCCTGGAAATGGTATGAATTCTGTAGAAGGTTCTTCCACGTTCTAAGAAGTCCTATAAAACTTCAGATAGTCTTAAGAACTTCTGGAGAATTCTAAATGAATCTGAACTCAATGACATCACTTAATGCACCAAACTTGATATGCGCTTACTTTAAGAACTGCTTCTTTTAAGCACCAGTACCGATAGAAATAAATCATTTTCATTTGATCAGTTGCTTGTGTTCTCATCATCTTCAATTCTTCTGGACCAGCTGATTTTGCCATTGATGTGATATAATCATCAGCCGATTTATTATTTCTTTCCTTATCCAACCGCATGCAATCTACACCAACCTGAAAGTTGTCCTCATCCATTATTGGATTCATGTTAGAAAATAGAAAACAGTATGTTCTCAAAAACGAATAGTAAACATAATAAATAAAGAGTTTTCATAATAAAACAAATGAAAATACGCAAGTAATTTAGACCTACTTCCCCACATAAAACAAGGAAGATTCAAGTATTAGCTACCCTCTGCGAACAACTACTCGCGAATGCTACGTAATCTCCTTGATGCGACACATTGAAGCCATATTTTGTATTACTAGGATTCATCACATATGGCTTTCCTTTTTCTGTTCGTCCAAATTCAATTGTGTTCCATTCTACATTCGATAAGCGCCTTGTAGCCTAGACGATATTATTTAAAAACTTTTCTGAAATTCAAGACTGTCCTATATGTTCTTATATATGTTTTCCTAATATAGTTGTAAGATGGGAAGAAAGTTGAGGGTGGATTCAAAAAAAGTGCTCTGAAATAAGATGGCCATAAATACTGATATGAAATAACCTGACGAAGAAAAAGACGTCCTAATATTGAGGCAAGTGTATCGTCTTTATAACGAAATCTCGCAGCTTTGGCACATTCTTCCTATAACTTGAGAAGACTTGATTCTTCAAATAAGTTGGAATTGCTATCATTCATTACTTGAGGGTTTTTATTTGAGCTATATTTCTTACTTGATACGAATCATATGGGTACTTACATATCTATAATAAATTATCCTGTTTTAAACTACAAAGTTCGATCGTACATTCAATCTGACAAACTACCACTAGAAAACAGCGATAAAAACGATGAATTAGGTAATTAATCAGAGCGGTTACTTACAGCAGTTAGTGATTGAACAGCTTTTCGAAAATCTGTTTCAAAATTTAAACTGCTCAGTGTGTCACTAAGGCTAATTGCTAAGCGGTGGCACTTACAATCTCTGGCCTGCATTGGTAACCACTGAAACATTAGTAATATTGAAAAGCAAAATTCATTTCAACTGCTGAAATGTTTCGGCAAAATGAATAATGACGAGCACATGAGTGATGCAAGCTAATGATCAAAGTCTTGTTGAAGTATGCACAAGAATTCTGTTATAGTGAATGGAATTACCATTTGCATAATGACTGACACTGAATAAAATCAAACCAGTTACCAACAAAACGCATGACTCAAAGACATCGATAGGTCGGTAAGAACTCTCCGATAAACACTAAAATGATAAACAGCACAGTAACGCATGTCGATGCATGTGAAACACCCCCTACGTCTGTCATCGCAGTTAGGGCTCTCATCGGCGATGCGAATGGATGATTTCATTGATGAGGCCGCTGCACCTTGTTGTACCAAGGACGCCCGCCGATTTCCGTCGCATGTTCTTCAGAAATGCATCGAAAGCAGCAGCAACGATCCATCCAATGAAGCCAATTATATACATGTCAACCTCCGATCAATCGATATCCTTTTCGAGCAGCTGCCATCCACAAAATTCATTTACTATCGTAATCTGGCTTCACATATCAATCATACAGATACTCACTGGGTCTCAAGCCATATGAGCCAGTTGAATTTTTTGAATAAGCAACGTGAAATGACCGAGATGTTGCTGAGGGGATGATACAGTAGCAATGAAACAAAAAGATAAAATAAGGTAATAAAATTTAAATTCAAAAGTCAATTCACCGACATGTTCATGTCCTGATTGTACATTAATGCTTGGTACTTTTCAGAAAATCCTGCCGCAACTACAGCAAAAAAATCTAGCATATGGAATTCGAACACGTTATTTTTCACTTCCAACCTGATGTGTATACGTATTTTCGTGCCATCACTGATTAACCCAAAACCAAAATACCAGTTCTAGAGTTAACAGAGGTATCTTGTTGTTCAATAGAATTAACAAAATTCCTGCGTCTTATCCTTCATACTAAAAATGTTCCCACCATCAGCGGTACCAAGTACAAGAGCAAAAATCGAACCAGATCAACAGAGTTTGTGGAAGAAACTCTGTGAATTAATCCAAGTGGACGGACCTATGCAGAAACTGAAAAAAGCAATAACACGGAATTGCATAACATCTAAATGCATAAATCCAAATATAGGCATGCTGAAGATACGTCAAAAAAGCTCCAATTCAATTAGGCTGCAAGATGGAAATCATTCCCATTATTTCTATTTCAAAAATACATATCTCAGGAATTGATAGAATTTAATACATGCACAAACCGCTGCAAATAGGACAATGATATGTCAGTAGTTGACACTCCTTTTGCGGAACTGGCACTCCGATGTATGAAAACAAGTACATGAGGCAACCCCCTTCCCCATTGCACGCAACTGAAATCAAATGAAACTATCTTCTTAAATCTTCAACTACTCACTATGAATTCCGAAATTCCACCTCCTAAATTTCTTCCCAATTCTTAGCCAGGACTGGCACCTCTGAGAGTCAGTCCGAAATTTTCACCGCGCCCTATCGCCAGAACAGTCTGGAAACCACGCCAAACACATCACCACGCACCCATACTTTCCCTAAGAAGGTTGGTCAACACCCTACCACATCGTTCTGCCGTCTTAAAAGTGACGTTACATCCAACGGTACCAGACTTGACACCCGCACATGCGTGCCTTTACAGCTTCGACTTCCTAAAACTGGCTTCACCCTTACCAATATCCCGCTGTCACGTTCCCAATTAGACACAATTCATTATAAGTCTTTTCACGATTGCCAATGAAAATGAACTCCCACAAACGACTACTCAAACTCTGAGTTAACTTTTTATATTGAAAACCTCAAAATCATAGAAATGGGCTCATGAAACATCAAACATTAAAAAGGTGAAATTCCGGATATCTGATCCTACTGAATTTCACCTAACATTCCCCACCAACAAATTTAAGATCTCTTATTTTGTCGACAAAAGAGGAACAGCAACTCAATACCAATAAAGCATCAAATCTATCCTAGACATGCAGCAACAAAAATATGACAAATGTCACAAAACTGAAATACAAAAACGATCTTGAATCAATCAGCAATTACTTAACAATGGATTTAAGAACGATGCGAGATACCGCAATAAAGCAAAAGATATTATGATTAAATCGCATCAAATCCTCCCTCTTCTTTAACAAATATACTAAAATCGAAACCGGAAAAATAAAAGCCCCGAAATCTAAGACTCAGAAAATTCAGTTTTAAAAGGATCTTAAAAGTAGTATTTTTTAGTCCAATTCATTTTGGTTACGAATGCTGCTATTCAATTGCTTCCGTCACTATCTTCCATATTCCCATTCTCTTCATCATCTTCCTCTTCCTCATCCTCTTCGTCCTCATCGTCGTCCTCCTCCTCCTCCTCATCATCATCATCATCATCATCATCATCATCATCATCAACATCATCATTATCAACATCATCATCATCAACATTATCGTTATCATCAATATTATTCTTCTCATCTTTATCAGCAGCCAATTTGTCGCTGTCTAAATTAACCTTGCTTTGCCCAGACAATATTGTTCCACTGGTAGCTTTCAACTTCGGTTTTTTAGTTACTGTTGTACACTAAAACACATATTTCATATACAGTTAGAAATGGTGAATATCTTAGCTTACATAAGACTAACTTTTTCTGAATTTCTGCTCCGCAACAAGAAAATAAGAATAAACAAATCAAAGATGCCAGAAAAAAATTCATTTAAAAACTCTTAATGCATAATCACAAATGGCTTTGCATCAGTGAAAGATGTGCACCCACCTTTGTTTCGGCTTTTTTCTGCTTAAATAATTCAGCAGTCCGTATTTTAGGATCCTCTGCTCTGGCCAATTTCGCCTTTTTAGGCTTTGAAACTGAATTGTCCTGAAATTTAAATTGCAAAAGTGAGCAAAAGACATTGCTATTTTACAAGACAAAATCATCTTGTTGTAATTTGCTTAAATCTGATAAAAATGTCTCAGGAAACTCAAAAATACAGTTAAAAAAATAGCGAACATGAGCAGTATTGAATATGTTTTAAAAGTAAAAACAAACCATTTCCTCAATGCCTTCTTCCGAGGATTCAACTCCTTCGCTAGTCGTATCGCCATTTACTTCATTTGCCTTTGGCAAATTTTTTGTTTCCAATTTTGTTACATTGCCATTTGACAAATTAGAATCCTGGTTCGCTTTCGACAGCTTTGCCTCATTTGTTATTCCTATCACACGATCATGACAGAGCTAGTTATTCAGCTATTGACTTCAACATTTTTAAAGGTTTTGTGAAAGTGGAAAAATATATATGGAAAATTAGGAGCAACAAATAATAATCATTACCTTGGCGTATCCGAGCATACAGGACATCAACCGGTACACCGCTAATCTTTAGCGTTTTCCCTTTTTCGAAAGCTGCTCTGGCTTCCTTTTCATTACCAAACTGTACAAAGCAGTACCTAAAAATTTTGCATACTTGATCATAAACTCAATCATTAAAATGGCTTAAAAAGATTGAAGGGTCCTCTACATATGGCAGAAATATTCTTTTTCAAAAAAAAAGAAAAATTCCGAAAGAACTTTAAAAAATTTTTTTTAATCTTAATTATAAATGGCGAGTTCTACAGCTGGTTGGCTTACAATTTGTTTTTATTTCTAGCTTGCTTCGGGAAACTGATATTGGTTGCTTGTCGAAATATGACTTTCATCTGATCTTTCGATGTTGACGGTGGTAAACCGCCAACAAATAGCTCAAGAGGATTGATGGGTAATTGACTCCTATCCTTTTGAGGGCGCGTTTTTGCCTTTGCTCCACAATAATCGACAGTTAGTGTTCGACCTTCCACTGTTTGTTTTGATATATCTTCGTAAGCTTTTTCACAAAGCTTTTCACTTGCGAATATTAACCATGCAAAGCTGAATTTTTTTTAAGGAATATATTCCTGACAATTAATAGAGTTATGTAATTACCATTTCCCACAATGCACCAGTTCAAAATATAAAAATCTTCAAATAATGTCTTTGAAATTAATGAATGCTTACTTGCGATGCGGCATATGACGTACATAGAGAATGTCATCATGAAGCGCCTTCAACTGTCCTAATTTTATATCTTTCGGTAATCCTCGCACGAATAATGATTTCTTGTCTCGCTCTTCTCGCCGTTTTTGTTCTTCTTTGACCACGTCTTCTGCATCCTCCAGCTTAACAGATTCATTTGTAATCCTCACTTCCATAAAAAGAATATATTAACAAAGCTCATACTTTTAGCACTAGTCCACTTTCCCATTTCCTTTTTACTCCTTTCGTCTCTTCCGTATTGGAGATTCTGTTTGTTTGTTTCTGCAAATCTAACTGAATAAATAAAGGTATATTTTCATTAAAGAAATGAGTTGGTTAAAACCAATCAAAACTTTTTAAAACTATCCCATAGTCTTTTCGCAAAAGAAAAAAAAAATAAAACTCCATAATATGCCTTGGAATGAATAGCAGTTTTTCACAACTAAAGTTTCTAAGACAGAATATGAGTCCAAATCTAAAGTCATTGTTAATTCTCTTGTGGCAAAAGAGGAATTATTTCGTGAAACAGATTCGAATTACAGCTGAAGATTAGCACCTCTTCAGTTTATCTGATGGTTTTAGGATAAGATTACATAAAACCATTAGAAAATGATGTCGATCACAACATAAAAAGCATCATAAACTACCTTGTCCTTAATTCCTTTATCATTTTTATTATGCAGCTCCTTCAAATTAATCCTCTCCTTTTTGTTTTGGATTGCTTCCACGGGTCCTTCCCGCTTTACCTAAAACTCCTACTGTAATGCATAGTTGTTCACAGTAGATCGCTGTATTTCCAACAATTCCCCAAATAAAGTCTAACCTTCAGATTTTCTGAATTAATAGTCCAGTTGAGTGAAATATCCGTTCCAAATGTTCTGTTTTTGATAGGTTCTAAATCATAAATAACAATTTTTCCTTACTTTTGCAAGTTCTGTCTTGACATCTATCATCGCCCTCTTTGTATTATCTGGTCTTTCGCCTTTATCGCTTTCTATTTCATCGTCATCCGTTACTTCTTCGTCTTCGTCTTCGTCTTCATCTTCATCCTCTGAATCGTCATTCCCCACCATCTTCATTGTCCCATCGTTCATCTTCAATTTCGCTTCATCCTCCTCATCATCATTCTCTTCATCCTCATCGCTTTCATCAGATTCTTCGAATTTCAACCGCTTCATCTTACTTTTGTTCGACATTATTTGAGGATGAGGTGTAACTGGGGTTTTATTCTAAAATTTTATTGTTAAAAAAAATCCGTTCTACTCCCAATCCTTATAATTGCACATGTGAAAAAATTCAACAAACCCTTAACAACATTTCTGGAGTAGCTGTAGTTGTGGCTGAAAGTGAAACCTTCTTATTCGATTTCCCAGTACCAGGAGTTTTGAGTGCACTCTTCAAATGCACTGTATTGCCAGGAGTAGCAGCAAGTGTTGGTTTTACTGAAAAAATGACTTAATTAAATTTGTGTTGTACAACCTACCATATGTGATAGTATAATACATCCATTTGAACAACGGATGAAGTCTAGTAATAAGAGAATACTTTCAGAAGGTGTTTCCTCTTCATCTTCGTCTTCCAAACTTTCTTCATCTTCATCTTCGTTTGATTCACTCATTTCAGCAATGCCATTTACATTCTTAGCAACTTTTCCTTCAGCACCTAAATATTTTAAAACAATCTAATCTTTATGTACAGTGTCGCCAAAATTTTGCTCTCACTGTAATTCATTGTATTTCTATTCAAAGTTTCGCACTTTCCCGACCGAAGGACTTTAACAAACAGCAGCCATACAATTATTAATGGCCAATGCAAATATTATCTCTGAAAGTGGATATCGACTCAGTTCCTGCTAATCACACGTGTTTTCGAATAAAAGTGAAGCTTGTACATCATTGTCGATAATGAGAAATCAATAAACAGCGCTGTTGAATGTTTAAACTAATCACGACCGAAAAGAAAAAGTAACCGAAAACCATATACTTCAAAAATTACCTTCGTCACTGCTCTTATCATCATCATCATTATCATCATCATCACTTTCTTCCTGTAAAAACCATAGAAATAAACACTTGCAGATAATTTCTAGAGAGCACATCAGGACCACCTTATGATACGCATACATTTCAGCAAAAATAAATGAAAGAGAAAAAACTCAGACTTCATCGTCTTCCTCGCTTTCAATATTGGTCATTCTGGCCTTCTTAATCTTCCGATTTGTTATGAGTTCTAGAACTGTCAAGCATTAATTAATTGTATTGCCTATCAACTTCAAACAGATATATATAGAAGCGATCTTGTAATAATCATGAGTTGGTTGCATGCATAGTTCGATAAAAGAGAATTTTGAAGATTGCAAGCCGACCTATTATATCACCGGGAAAATAAAAGTATATTCATAAAGGGAAATTTTTTTATACGATTGACTAACTCTATTTTAACAGTTCAACTGTTAAAATACAGTTAGTCAACCCTAGATACTTAATTGCAAGTGACTATTTGTAGATGGGGATCAATAAAAGATACTTTACCTTTATCTTCTTCTTTATCTTTTTCTCGTTTAAGCGCATCCTGCAAAAATATTTATGTGTATGGTTATCGCAGCTAAGATTTCTGAGATTAATTTAACTTGTATTAGAGCAATCATATTTTATACATTTTGCGCAACCTAAAACAAAAAGAAATATAGCATGTTTTGTTTCAGGAACTTCAAATTACCTTCTTTTTTGGTAGAGCTTTAGCACTCATTATCTGGGCAAATTTTGAGCCATTTTTTGATGTGAGTGTTTTTCCCTGTTTCGATGTTATATCAGCAGCAATTTTTTCCGGTGCTCCTATGGCTGAAAGAAAATTTTGCTTCAAAAGAGGAAGTTTGGATTTCAATGTGTCAAACATAAGCTTTACCTCAATGACTATCGAATTCGGAACTAAAACTTACTTATTTCTTCATTTTCCATATCTGAGATGCTCATTTCCTAAAAGAAAAAATGATCAACAAGCAAAATTTAGATAGATGAGTCGATTACAAAACGTTGGCAAATTAAAAATTCAGTATCATCGATACGATAATTTTCCATGCTCACATTACAAAAATCTCGGAGGATCAAGACAAAAAGTGCACAACCTCATTTTCGTCATGTTCGCTGTCCATTTCATATTTCTTAAATTTCACAGTTGCTGGAGTTGATGGTTCCGACATTGATTTTTTGTATTTGTTTTCATTCTTCTTTCCGTCTGCTGATTTTCGATCTTAAATCAGCGCTTCATTTAAGCTTAATATGAAAGTAACACATTACCTATTCCAACCGCTGTCTTATTACAATATCTGTTAAAGAGTCCTTTCCGTTTCTACCCCAAGAATATTTCACAGTTGACAGCACTACTTCTGCTTAAACAATTTCACTATAGGCATTCATTTTCAAATATGAAGTACCGCAAAAAACAAAACTTCAAACTTATGTTTACCAAATCTGTTGTCGACATCAAAACTCATTCGCTTTTTGAAATCCATAACACCTCCGTTACTCGCAGAAAACTCCCTCTGTCCTTGACCACTTTTGTTCCGCTCACCTCTTCCGCAACCACTCCAACTACCCCTTCCACCAAAACCACCCCAGTTTCCTCTCCCACCACGACCACCACCTACAAGAAAGAATCTGCACATAAAAACTGGTAATATCAATAGTTCAAGTCAATCATTAACATAAAATTCAAAAAAAAATCAGACTTAAAAATTTCACTTTAGAGAACAGACCTCTACCTTTTCCAGAACCGCGAGCGCGGTTAGACAAATCAAAGTGATCTCTTTTTGGTGACATTCCACCATGCCTACTTCCTCGCGTCGAAAGCTTACCACGATTTCCTCCACGTGCAGAACCACCTCGAGGAGAATTGATGTTTTTGTGGATACC